CAGATCTTTACAGCAGCGCGGAAGGATTGGAGGGTGGTGAGGGTCCGAATCTCCACGGGGAGTTCGTTCTCCTCCTTCAGCCATTGGCAACAGCTCCCAAGGACACGTGGGCGGGAATGCGCTCGGCTCGAAGAATATACGCTCCCAGTTGCTAGGAGAGCCTCAAGGCGGCTGGAGGCTTTTTCGTAACTTAAAAAAAATGGGACTTTTTAAAAAAAAACCGGGACACGGGACAAATTGTTCAAGAGGGACTGTCCTGCTGAAATCGGGACGTCTGGTCACCTTACCCTTGCCTAAAGGACACCCAGAAGCCCCTTCCCCTTGCCAGAAGCCCCCCCTCACCTGAATGCCCCCTCCCTTTGACTAAAGACCCCCCCCGGCAGATGGGACTGGAAAGAAAGGCCCCTGCGCCGTTCCTAATATATAGTCCTTGACTTACAGCCATCCATTTATTGACCGTTTAAAGCCACAACGGCACTTATGTGTAGCAGCATCCCTGTAGTCACGTGACCAAAATTCACACCGCTTGGCAACTGTCCCGTGTTTATGACTATTATAACTAACCTTCGAAGAGCTAAGGCATGGAGATCTAAAACCTGAAGAATGGTCGCAGGATTTGGGTTTGGCCACTCTTGAGAAAAGAGGGGGGGCAGGATAGTGTTCCAGTATTTGGGGGGCCATCCCAAAGAAGAGCTGGTCAACATATTCTCCAAAGCAACAGAAGAGAGACAAGAAACAATGGATGGAAACTAATCAAATAAGAGAAGGAACCTGGAATCCTCCTCTCCACAAATCCCCCTCCCTTGTAGTCCTCTCCACAACCCCTCCCTTGTAGTCCTCTCCACCCTCCTCCTCACAATCTCCCTCCCTTGTAGTCCTCTCCACCCTCCTCTCTACAACCCCCTCCCTTGTAGTCCTCTCCACCCACCTCCTCTCCACAAGCCCCCTCCCTTGTAGTCCTCTCCATCCTCCTCCTCTCCACAAGACCCCTCCCTTGTAGTCCTCTCCATCCACCTCTCCACAAACCCCCTCGCTTGTAGTCCTCTCCACCCTCCTCTCAAGCTCCTCCCTTGTAGTCCTCTCCCTCCTCCTCTCCACAAGCCCCCTCCCTTGTAGTCCTCTCCACCCTCCTCTCCAAAAAAACCTCCCTTGTAGTCCTCTCCACCCACCTCCTCTCCACAAACCCCCTCCCTTCTAGCACTGATGATGTTCCCTAGTTGGGTCATGAAACGTCTACAGGAAAACAAGCTCAAGAGTGGACCAAGGACTCTACAGTCCTTTTCGTTTTCCTCCTCCAAGATCCCTTCCAGCTCTATTCTGATTGATTGATACGAAAGAATCATGGTTTTGTGGGAACCACTAGGAACTGAGCAGCTCAGAGTTGGGATAAAAAGTGCCATGCAGCCAATAATGGACATAACGTTCAACAAAAGTGTTGCTTTCTCAATCACTATTCAGTGTCCTTAACTTTAGAGATCCTCCAATGGGCAGGATAGGAAAACAGTACTTGGTGAGTCCACCATCTTTCTGGAACAAAGAAATGGATGGCTGGGGAATTCTGGGAGTTGAAGTCCACGTTTTAAGGTGGCCATATTTGGGAAACGATTTAGAGTGAGTTTCATGTATCTACTTTAGCTACAAAACTCTCTCCTCCCCCCAGAGAAAGGATAAAAAATGATGCCAAGTGTACCAAAGACCCAAACAAGATAAAATATAAGCCTGTTTTAATTCTGTAAGGGTCTCCTGCTTGAGCAGGGTGCTGGACTAGAAGACCCCCAAGGTCCCTTCCAACTCTGTTGAAAAAGTCAATTCTGTTAAAAGTCAATGGGGAAGCCAGATTCACGGAACTCTATCTGAAGAGTTGTTACTCTTGAAGTAGTAGTAACAACTAGTAGTAACAACTNCTCTAGATGTTCTCCTGAGAAACTTCTAGGGATCAGTCTGGAAGGAGGCCATCATCTAGACCAGGTGTCTCCAACCATGGCAACTTGTAGACCTCAACTCCCAGAATTCTGGGAAGGAATTCTGGGTGTTGAAGTCCACAAGTCTTAAAATTGACTAAGTTGGAGACCTCTGATCTAGACAATTCCTCAATGTTCATCAAAGAAGCCAAGATTCATGTTTTCAACCCACGAGGAACAAAACCTGATTTTTTTTTACCCAGGGAGACCAGTGACTCGTAGTTACTCTTCATCACGTTCTTGTAGAGTTCCTTTTGCCATTCCTCCAGGTTACCCCACTCCTGCTCCGAGAAGTAGACAGTGTTGTCTTCAAAAGTCATGGGCACCTGAAAACACATCAATTAACTGGGGTTTGGATCTGCTAGAAGGAGCTGTTGGTGCTCAGATGGACCACCTGGGCTCCAAAATCGTCACTGTTTGGAGGGACAGGTGGGCCCATATCTCCTCCATCTCAACGAAAAGGATGGGAGGTGCATGTAGGAGAACGTCTTGTCAAATGGAGGAATCTTGTAACCCTTGAAGGCACATGTTCATCAGATATTCAGATGCCACTAAGTCTACTTAGCAGTGACCTTCACAAGCTCCTGGAATATTTCGGGTGGAGGAGACCTCAACTCAAGATCCAAGATCAATGATGGGATGAGAGTGAACGCTGCACCAACCAACTTCTCAAACAAAACTTGTTGGATTGGACAAAAGCCACCAGGAACAGAGTAGCTAACAATTTGCTCCCCTCTACTCCCTTTGAGAATGACCCTTAAAAGCACCACAACCAGGAACATTAACTAGAACACGGCTGCTGGGGCACATCACATGTAAAAAGTTTACGCATGTTTAGGGTTTGGGATTCACACAACAAACAGTTTGGCCATTACAACTGATATTCTACCTTGGCATTTTGGGTTTAACTCAGCCAACTGTGGCTTATTCTAACAATCATTATTTTTTAATGACCCCATAATCCCTTATGGCCGTGATGGCGAACCTCTGGCACGGGTGTCAGAGGTGGCACACAGAGCCCTCTCTGCTGGCATGCACGCCATTGCCCCATGTCAGACCTTTCAGTTTGGGCATGCACACACACGCAGTTTGGGCACTTGGTGTCTAAAAGGTTCGCCATTACTGCCTCACGGGGTGGAGTCTGGGCAACTGAATGGAACAAGGTGTTAACTGGCTGGATGCCCTTTCTGTTGCCAACGCGGAGTTTTGTTCAGCAGATATATTCTTGTTGTGCCCAGAGAGACAAATATCTGCCTCTACCTAGGATCAAACTCACAGCCTCCTGATTGTGAGGCAAGAGCTCCACCTCTAGGCCACCACACCACTCTGTGGCTTATTCCAACAATCTAGGTTTAAAACAAGCCTGGCTTAGCATGATGTATAGACAGCAGTCCAGGCCGATATGCAGGAAGTGGGTTGGGCCTGCTTTGTCACGGAATCCTAAAGGGTCATTCCATGTCAAGTGGTCTGGGGCTCCCAGCTCAACCATTACGGATCTTGATGAAATTTGGTGTGAACATGCAAACCATGTTCAAACAAATGACTATATCTCCACAAGTATTGCATCGGCAAACGTAACACTTATCCAATGTTCATTGGGGACCTGTGTGCATGTTCACACCAAATTTCATCGAAATCTGTGATGATTGAGCTGGGTACTTATCTGAAATCAGACCACTTGACATGGAATGACCCTAAAATGGAAAGAGGCCATTTTGTTTGGGGTCCAAACGAGGCACCGTGTTCACCACCCACAATTAAGATTCATAGTTAAAATTCTGCTGGAGGTAGTTGGGTATCTTTAAAAACTGGCTTCCAACTCAGATTCATCTAAATGCTGGCAGGGCAAGTACTGAAAATAAATTGGGAGTAAAGCTCACACTCCCTCATACCGATGATGTTACTTAGTTGGGTCATGAAATGTCTGCAAGAAAACCACCAAACTCAGAGAGCACCAAGGACCACACAGTCCTCCTCGTTCTTCTTCCTCCTTCTCCTTTTCCTCCTCCACCTCCCCCTGTTCTTCTTCTACCCAAACTCCTGTCCCTTCTAGAATTGATGATGTTCCCTAGTTGCGTCATGGGATGTCTACAAGAAAACCACCCAGCTCAGATAGCACCAAGGACTCCACACCCTTTTCCTCCTCCTCCTCTATCCAAACACCCTCCCTTCAAGCACTGATGATGTTCTCCAGTTGGGTCATGAAGGGTCTACAAGCAAACCCACAACCTCAGAGCACCAAGGACCACCCCAAACTCAATTCCTCTAACACCCTCCAAGTTATGGGAGTTCTCCCATCATTGCAAACCCCGCAAGGAAAACTAAGCCCCATCCCAATCCTCTGACCTTGGGCGTTTCTCCCTTGGAGCCTGGGGGAAGTCTGAGGATCCAGAAGTTCTGGTTCTTCAAGAGGTTCTCCATGTTCTCCAGCCTCCTCTGGAGCAGCCCATATTCCTGGATTAGGGTACCCAGAGCAGTCAACTTGCACTCCATCTGGTTGCCAAAGTCCACCACTGCATTTTCGCAGTCCACATATTTCTTTTCGTTGGTCATCACACGGCGCTCCAGGTTCAGCAACCGGCTGGCATGAGCGTCGACTTTCCTCTCCACTGCTTGGATGGCGGCCACAACGGTCCAGAGAGAAAGCTCAGCCATGTTTTGCTTGACCTCCCAGTCAAAAGTCTGCTCAGGGAGAAGAGGGACTGGCGTGCGGGACTCCATCTCGCAATCCGGGAATTCTTTATCAAGAAAGAGATAAAGGCCGCTTAAGGAGTATCCCTGGAGGGGTAAATTAAAAAATTTCACAAATTAACAGAGTTGGAAGGGACCTTGGAGGTCATGTAGTCCAACCCCCCATCCAAGCAGGAGACCCAACACAGTTTCGGAAAAATGGCAGAAAACAGTGATGAAGCTGCCACAATTTCATGGAATTCATCTGAATTTCTTAGGCTAATTTCCCCCGGAAGAGAAACACAAAAATACAATTTTTCATTCCAACCCGTTGTGACATACATCTCTCTCTCTCTCTCACTCTCTCTCTCACACACACACACACACAAACACGATACCATATTTTTCGGAGTATAAGATGCACCGGAGTATAAGATGCACCAAGATTTTGAAGAGGTAAATTAAAAAAAAAAAGGTTTTGCACTCTGCAGACCTCCCAAACCCTCTGCACGCCTCATTCTTTGTGAAAAACGGGGCATGCAGAGTTTGAGAGGCCTGCAAAGTGCTCCTGGGGGCTGGGGAGGGGCAAAAACAAGCAAAAAATGGTCCATTTTGCGCCTCCCAAAACCTAATGTTCCTATTTTCCCCACAACAACCCTGTGAGGTGGGCTCGATTGAGAGGGAGGGATTGGCCCAAAGTCACCCAGCTGACTTTCATACCTAAGGCAGGACTAGAACTCCCCATCTCCTGGTGATTGGTCCAAAGTCACCCAGTCGGCTTTCCTGCGTAACATGGAACTAGAACTCCCAGCTGCCTGGTTTCTAGCCTGGCATCTTCACCACTAGACCACACTGTCCCTTTAGCCCCCCCCCCCAAAACCATAGGAGAAAAAACCACCTCCAACAAACACAACTACAAGATTCCCCCCATCTAGACACACACACACCCATCTAGAAGGCAGCTACTGAAGCGCCCATTAAAATTCTGCTGGGGGGTGGGGACCCAGTGGATTTGAGGGAGTGGTCCCCAAAGGCTCCCCAAGGACCACCACAACCCCCCCTTCCCCCGCCCAGGCATTTCCCAGGGTGAGGGAGGCACCTCTGTTTGGGGGATTTGGGGGGGTGGTTCCATATCCCCCCTCCCTCAGGAGAACAGCAAGCAGGATAGGGAGCGCAGCCTCACCCTGCACCCAAGAAGCTCCCTCTGGGCAGAACTACGATGCCCATCATCCCCAACGGGGCCACGCCAGGCCCCAGGTCTTGTTAGGCCTTCAGGACCCCCACCCCCACTTTTGGGGAGCCAAGCAACGCACACACACACACAGCTCCCTCTGGTCTAGAACTACATTATCCATCATCCCCAATTGAGACAGGCCAGGCCTTGCGCCTTAAGAACCCCACCCTACCCACTTTTGGGGAGCCAAGCAACCCCCCCCCCCCCGTCGAGGAGGACAGAACTACAAGTCCCATCAACCCCAAACCAGGGTGAGCCAGGCCTTACTAGGCATTGAGGACCCCCATCCAGAAATACAACTCCCATCAGCCCCCCAACCGGGCCAAACCAGGCCTCGCTAGGCCTGGAGGACCACCCACACCCCCACTTTTGGGGGGAGCCAGAAACCCCTCCAGCCCGAGGGAGTGGGTTCCCCTGGGACTCAAAGGTCAGCCGAGGGGGGCCCTCCCTCCAAGGGCGCTCCCACTGAAGCCCGGCCTTTGTTCCCCAGCGAGAAGGGAGGGAGAGCCCAGCCCCCCTTCTCCCAAACAGGCTCCACCCCCACAGTTTCGAACCCGGGGGGGCGGCTCTCGAGGGAGGGGGGCGCGGCGGCGGCGGGAGGGGGGATGAGTCGCGATTACCCACTGGAGGCGTCGGGCGAGAGCCAAGCGGTGCGCATGCGCGGAGCCAGGGCCTTTCGAGGGAGTGGTGGGGAGGACGCTATCCTTGCGCGACCGGAGAGGGAGAGAGCGCATGGGGGGCAAAAGGCGGGTTTTCCTTGCTCGGCTGCAGGAGGCCGCAGCGCCCCCTGCGGCGGGAGGAGCGACGGCGGGCCGAGGCCCAGCGACGCGCCTGCGCGGGGGAACCCGGAGTCCCGGAAACAAAACCAACCAACCGAAGTCACTTGGCGCCTGGCGTATCTTGCCTGGTTTCTGCCCACACTAGAAGCCCCCTGCCCTTGCCCGAAGCCCCCCACCCCACCCCCAGAAACCCCGTGCCTATGTCTGAAGGCCTTTCCCAGNGCTTCAGGGTCCAGGCCCTGGAAATCTCCCTCTGAACTCCCAGACATCTGGTGTGGCTCTAAGTCTCCAGGACATTCGTCGGAATGAGGCTCTTCTGTTTTGATCACCACCCTGATGCCGGCTGCAGGGAGAAAAACATCAGAAAAGCTTCTATTGGTACAGTACAGCTGGTCCTCGCAATTTACAATGGTTTGTTTAGTGACCGTTCAAAGTTACAATGGCCCTGAAAAAAGCAACTTAGGGCCATTTCCACACTTATGACCTTTGTGTGGATGTGGTCACAATTCAGACGCTTGGCAAATTGACTCATCTTTATGACGATGGCACTCTCCCGGGGTCATGTGATCGACTTTTGCAACCGTCTGACCAAGAAGGTCAATGGGGAAGCCAGTTTTGCTTAACGATCAGGTTACTAACTTGACAGTGATTCCCTTAACAATTCCCTTAAAGCATGCCAGCTGGGGGTCCACATGTCTTAAAGTCGCCAAGCTGGGGGATTCTGGGAGTTAAAGTCCACCCCTCTTAAAGGATTTCATTTAATTTCCTTGCAATTGTCTCCCCAACAGAGGCCAGAACTCACCTGCTGTGGCATCGGGAAGGCTTCTCTGTTGTTCCGAATCCTGATCGTGCCTGTGACATGAGTCGGTCGCCCGCTCGGTCTGGGACAAGACGCCTGGCTTGGAAATAGCATAATCTGCACCGGGGGGGGGGGGAGAGGGGTCAACCCTTGGATCTAGGCCAGGTGACAAAATACGAGTTCAAAGGACTGCTCTGGGGGTCAGGTGGGGAGGGGGCAGAAGCAGAGAAGCATAAGGCATGCTTGAGGAGAAAGACAGCTTGCTGGGCCCCATGGCAATTAAAAGAAGTGACGTTGAGATAGGAGAAAGAGAGAGGGAGGAAATCTAGTCCAACCCCCTGCTCAAGCAGGAGACCCCAGACCATTTCAGACAGGTGGCTGTCCAGTCTCTTGTTCAAAACCTCCAGTGATGAAGAACCCACTTCTGGTTGCAAGCAGTTGCACAATTTTCCTCGCTCTTAGGAATTTTCTCCTTTATTCCTGGTGAATTGCACCCCACCCAAATTGGAGCAAGAGCTGTGCCCCCTTACCCAAAGAGACCAAGGACTGGTGGTTGCCCTTCATCAAATTCTTATAGAGTTCCTTCTGCCATTCTTCCAGTTTCTCCCATTCCTTCTCGTTGAAGTAGACAGACATGTCGTCGAAGGTCACCGGCACCTGGAACCACAAAGTTGGCACCCTCAGTATTGATCCCTGACAGCAAAAACTAAAACCTCCTTCCTTCCTTCTCCTTCCTTCTTTCCATTTCCTTCCATCTCCTTCCTTCCTGCCATCCATCTTCCTTCCATCCATTTCTTTCCTTCCATCTCCTTCCTTCCATCCATCCATCCATCTCCTTCCTTCCTCTCCCATATCCTGGGTCAGCTGGGGAGACATGATTTCATGGTGATTACAGTTGGGCATTCTCAATAAAGAAGAATATTTGGAGCTCAGGGTTGAAATGAGGGGTGCTTGGTGCTCTCTGAGCTGGGTGGTTTCCTTGCAGACGTTTCGTGACCCTACTAGGTAACGTCATCGGTGCTAGAAAGGAGGGGTGTTTGTGGAGAGGTGGTGGTGGTGGTGGTGGAGGAAGAAAAGGACTGGACGGTCTTTGGTTCTCTCTGACCTGGCTGGTTTTCTTGCAGATGTTTCATGACCCAACTAGGGAACTTCATCAGTGCTACAAGAAAGAGGGAGGGAGGGGATGGGGAGGAGGAAGAATTACATTATGAAACATTTGCCAGAATTTCACCACCCAACATTTCACCACCTCACCTAATATCATCAGTATTTGCTCTCTAACCTCACTCCTTTCTAGCACTGATGATGTTCTCTTGTTGGGTCATGAAACGACTGCAAGAAAAGCAACCAGCTCACAGAACACCAAGGATCCATCCAGTTCAACCCCAAATACTCTCTACTATTGGTGCCTATGTTTAGCCTGGAGAAGCAAGGTTAGGAGGCGGTTCCCCTGGCTGGAGAATTCTGGGAGTTGAAGTCCTCATATCACGCCAAGGTTGAGAAACACCACTAGGAACATTTCAACGTATAGGATAACCTTACGAGCAATAGGACAGGTAACGTATCCCGTTCATAAATAAATGCTTAACGCCAGAGACACGTGGCTACGCCAAAATTTGATCCCCCCCCTCTTCCTTGCTGGCTCTCTCCAGCGGCGGGATCCGGTGAGGTTATTTCTTTCCGATCCGATCACATTTCAAACCCAAGTGCTATTTCCACACGAAACGCACCGTGCCTAGACACCCCCGTCATCAGGGCAGCCGACCCAAGGGACTAACTGGATTTTAAGGAGATTCGTACGAAACCACCAGAACCCGTATCAACCGGCCACGACCTGTTGTGTGTCAAGGCTTCACTGCAAACAACGGTGGGTCACTTGTTGCGAAACGGCAGCAATGTTGTCATACTTCCTACCATGTTTACCTGAAAATAAGACCTACCCCAAAATAATCCGTAGTGAATGGGGGTTGGTGCAGCCAGCAATGAAGGCAGGGAGTGCGTGCGGCCCGACGGTGTCCGGCAGGAGCCATAGCTCGCACAATGCAGGTGAGTTGATTACCTGTCCAAGCAGTAGGCAGAGGTGCAGGGGGAAGGCACGCGATCTGGACGCACTCCACAAGAAAACCAAGGGTCGGTGGGCCGAAACAACAGCCGGCCGCAAGAGCCTTGTCTTTGTGTTCTCTAGGCTTGCCCATGGCATGCCAGGATCATCTGCCTTCCGCCCCATGCTTTTGCCTCCGTCTGCTGCCAGTGCCTCAGCGTGAAGACAAGCCTCTCGTGGCTACCTGCCCACTCCAGCTCATAGACTCTTGGCTTTTCTGCAGCCCGTGCAACATGTCCGGATCACGTGCCTCCCCACCCCCTCACACCTCTGCCTGTCTGCTTCTTGGACAGGGAATCAACTCAACCATGTTGTGCAGACTGCAGCCGGACACTGTTGACCCATGCATGCTCGCCACCTCCTGGGCTGGCCATGCCCAGTCCTTAACTGGGTCTTAATTTTGGGGTAGGGCTTATATTAGGTGCATATTTAAAATCAGGCTAGGGCTTATTTCCAGGGTAGCCCCAGAGTGTGCTGACCAAGGGACCGGCAGGCTACTGCTGCTGCTGGATACCATTGGTTCCCGTGCGCTTGCTGACTCTTGTGTACATGCTGGGAGGCGGGACGCCCAACTGGGCTAATCACCCTGAAGTCATATCTGCCTGAAAATAGTCTGGTGCTTATTTTGCAGCAAAAAAAAAATAAGACCAGGTCTCATTTTTGGGGAAACACAGTAACTTCTTGTTTCAAACATGGGAAACACCCCCAAATTTCCCAACAACTGAAACATGCAGGTGGTTAATGAGCTGAGAACTGCAGCACAAATGTAGGCAAACATTCAACAAACGTGACCCAGCAGCTTCGCAAACTTCAACCATCTACAGGCAGTCCTACAACAGCTCACTTAGTGACCGTTCAATTACAATGCCGTCAAAATTGACCTATGTCTGTGTTTCATGCCGATGACCCTTCCAAGCATCCCCACGGTCACAGGCAGGGGGTTGGGAACTCTCAATCTATGTCAACGAATGTCACGAGCTAAACCTACTTTCGGCATCTCGCCCTTGGAGCCTGGCGGGAAGCGCAGGATCCAAAAGTTACGGTTCTTCAACAGGTTCTCCATGTTTTCCAAGCGTCGTTGAAGCAGGCCATATTCCTGAATGAGGGTCCCCAACGCGGCCCACTTGCTCTCCAGCCGGCCGCTGATCTCCCCTGTCGTCTTCTCACAATCCAGAACCTTCTTCTCCACCATCCCAGTTCTGCCTTCCAGGTCCA